GAAGAAAGCTGAGCGCCGAAAAATTGATGCTTTTGAACTGTGATGTTGGAGAAGACTCTTGAGAATCCCTTGGACTGCAAGGAGATCCAACCAGTCCATCCTAAAGGAGGTCAGTCCTGGGTGTTCATTGGAAGGACTGATGTTAAAGCTGAAACTCCAATACTTTGGCCACCTGATGTGAAGAACTGACTCATTGGAAAAGACCCTGATGCTGGGAGGGATTGGGGGCAGGAGGAGAAGGGGACAACAGAGGATGAGATGTTTGGATGGCATCACTGACTCGATGGACATGAGTTTGAGTAAGCTCCAGGAGTTGGTGATGGACAGGGAAGCCTGGCGTGCTGCAGTCCACAGGGTCCCAAAGAGTTGGACATGACTGAGTGACTGAACTGAACTGAACGTGCAAAGCAGCTTTGCAGGTGTGATTAAATTAAGGGTCTTACACTGGAGATTATATTGGATTATCTGGGTTGGCCCAATGTAATCACAAAGGTCTATATAAGAGAAACAGGCATGCAGGTGACATACCTGTCACCTGTGAAGGAGCTGTGACAATGAAATAAGAAGTCAAAATAATGCAGTATGAGAAAGAATTGTCTATCCATTGCTGGTTTTGAAGACAATGGAAGAAGCCAGAAGCCAAAGGATATACACAGCCTCCAGAAGCTGGAAAAGGCAAGGAAAGGATTCTTCCCCATATCCTTCAGAAGGAATATAGCCCTGTTGACCTTGATGTTTAGCCCCATAAGATTCATTTTGGATTCATCCTCAGAATTATGAGATAATAAATTTGTATTGTTTCAAGCCACTAAGTGTGTAAAAATCTGATACAGCCATAGACTACTAATACCATTGAGGAAAAGCATACTTCCTAAGTCAGACAAAGACAGATATCATATGATATCGCTTATATGTAGAATCTGGGAAAAAAATGGCATAAATTTACAAAACAGAAATATAGTCACAGATGTAGAAAACAAACTTATGGTTACCGAGAGGGAAATGAGGGGAGGATAAAATGAGAGATTGGGATTGATAGTACGTATGTATGTACATACTACTATACATAAAACAGATAACTAATAAGAACCAACCTTAGAGCACAGGGAACTCTATTCAGTACTCTGTAGTGACCTATATGGGAGCAGAATCTAAACAAGAGTGGATATATGTATACCTGTAACTGATTCACTCTACTGTACAGCAGAAACTAACACGACATTGTAAATCAACTATATTCCAATAAAAATTAGTTAAAAAAAAAAAAAAGAATACACTTCCAAGCTCACTCAGACTATTGGCAAAATTTATTTCCTGTAGGTATAAGGCTGAAGGCCCTGAATTCTTGCTGGCTATTGGCTGGAGGCTATCCTCAGCTCCTACAGGCTTCCTTAAAATGATAAAGAACTTCTACACAAAACTACAATTAACATACTTAATGTTGAATAACAAATCACTGCAGATGGTGACCGCAGCCATGAATTAAAAGACNTGGGCTCCAAAGTCACTGCAGATGGTGACCGCAGCCATGAATTAAAAGACGCTTGCTCCTTGGAAGAAAAGCTATGACCAACCTAGACAGCATTACAAAAAGCAGAGACATTACTTCGCCAACAAAGGTCCATCTAGTCAAGGCTATGGTTTTTCCAGTGGTCATGTATGGATGTGAGAGTTGGACCATGAAGAAGGCTGAGCGCCGAAGAACTGATGCTTTTGAACTGTGGTGTTGGAGGAGATTCTTGAAGAGATCTTGGAGGGGATTCTTGCAGTCCCCTTGGACTGCAAGGAGATCAAACCAATCAATCCTAAAGGAAATCAACCTTGAATATTCACTGGAAGGACTGATGCTGAAACTGAAGCTCCAAGACTTTGGCCCCCTGATGCAAAGAGCCGACTCACTGGGAAAGACCCTGATGCCGAGAGAGACAGAAGGCAGGAGGAAAAGGGGGCAACAGAGGATGAGATGGTTGGATGGCATCACCAAGTCGATAATATGAGTTTGAGCAAGCTCCAGGAGATGGTGAAGGACCAGGAAACCTGGTGTGCTGCAATCCGTGGGCTGCGAAGAGTCAGACACTACTAGCAACTGAACAACAACCCTCTTCCACCGGAAGTCACCAACAGGATATAGAAAGGACAAAAATTTTTCAGTGGCATTCTCATCACTTCCTCCTCCCCAACCAGTCTCTTTAATATTCCAACAGGTTTTTAACTACAGCTAAGGAGAAATTACCCTTATTCTCATGTTTATATTTCAAAATTTCATTTAAATTAGTGACAAAGATCATAGGCACTCTCACTCATTCCTTTATCTAAAAGACAATACCTCTAAATGCTTGGTGTGGTCTTTAACATGCTACTTCCTGCTCAAAAACTTGTAGGCGTTTCCTATTACCTAACACATTAAAGCATCTGACTATTTTGAGTTCCTCCCTTATCAAATAGCCCCTTTCTGACTTTTGCAACTCCTTATTTATTAAATATCTGCTGAGCATACAATGATCTCTACTTTCTAGATAATAACATGAATATGATGACCGTATTTGTCAAGCTCATTGACAAGAACTTGTGGCCATAATGAAATCAAATATTTGAACACATATCATCCCAGAATACTTGTGGCATATGTTTGCCATAATTAAAGGATATCTCAAATATACACACACAAAGTTAAAACACCATCTCTATCTTGCAAGGTAGGTCTGTGTGGTACAGGCTACTCCACAGCAACCTATGACCCTGTTCAGAGTCCTGGCTGCCTCTAGACCTACCTTGTTCAATCCCACCTTGCTTTCCTTTCTCTATTCCTTTGACCTGGAAAATCTTACCTTGTGCATCATCATTCTATTCAGTGCCCCCCACTTCGGAGATAAGGTAAACATCTTCAAAATGTTTGTGCTCACCAATGTACTCTCCACTCTCTAGACAACTCTTGCAACATAACAAAAATTTGTCTCTTCAATGAATGAGAACTTTGCATGTAATTGTTCTCCTTTTTTTTTTCTTGCTACATGTAATTTTCATTTGAAAATAAAGGAATTCTATAAATTTTTATACTGTCTGTAATACTTTAATATCAACAGTAAGTTAAATGAAAATTATGAGTTTTCCAGGGTGCACTAGTGGTAAAGAACCCACCTGCCAATGCAGGATACATAAGAAATGCGGGCTCCATCCCAGGGTTGGGAAGATCCCCTGGAGAAGGAAATGGCAACCCACTTCAGTATTCTTGCCTAGAGAATCCCATGGACAGAGGAGCCTGGCAGGCTACAGTCCATAAAATCACAAAGAGTCGGACAGAACTGAAGCAACTGAAGGAAATACTCATGTGTTTTCCTTAACCCAAGCACCTCCATTCACAAGGTAATCTGTCCCTCTAATCCTTGGAACTTTCACTGCATTTCATTCCTCTATTGAGCACATTTCATTTTTTGCTTTGCATTATGGTTCTCTGTCAATTATCTGTTTGCTCTCTGCGATCACATCTCCTTGAAAGAAGGAACTATGTCTTACCCTTCTAGTTCTCAGCAAGAGACACTTTTTTCCTTAAATAAAGGAAAGAATTAACCAACAAAGATTTATATAGTGATACTATTACAGCCTCATCTTCCATTTAAGCCTGTCGAACTGCCTAGAAATAAAACACTTACTGAAAACTGTTTGGAGAACCCTATCTATGAAATCACTATAACAATGTAATTATAAAGAAGGTTTGGGACCCCCAGACTATATGTAAGGCTCTCTTCTCTTTCAGGTTACCAAGCAAAAAAAAAAAAAAAGAACAGTGGCTCTTGAGAAACAAGTAGTAATTTTAGAATTCTGTACATTAATGATTAGCAGCCAGTTCTTTCTTAGTGGCAGTACAGGTAAATGGTTAGGAATTTGGGGTCTGATGTCAGAAAACCTGGATTTCAATCTCTCCTCTACCACATATTAGCTACAGGACCTTAAGAAAGTTGTTTAACATCTTTGTGCCTCATTTTCGTCACCAGCAAAAGGTAGAAACAAACAATACAGAATCTCAAAAGGATGGTGTGAAAATTAATGATTTAATATATTTAAAGAGTTTAGAATAGTATCTGGCACTTTGCTGCAAAGCCATAGCAATATTTAGTACTTTTTTCTTTTTTTAACTTTTTATTTTATACTGGAGTGTGGTTGATTAACAATGATGTGTTAGTTTCAGGTACTACGAATTGATCCATTTATATATATACATGTATCCTTTTTCAAGTTCTTTTCCTATTTAGGTTGTTACATAATATTGAGCAGAGTTGCCTGTGCTCCACAGTAGGTCCTTGTTGGTTACCCACTTTAAATGTTTATCTTATATTCCCTATTGGTAAGTTTCATGACATTAAGAACAAACTGAATTCTTTTTTGGAGGGTCTCCTACAGTACATAACAGAACGAAACAAACACTAGATGTTCAAAAAATGTGAATTGTATTTGAGATGTAGGGAGTGAATGCACAAGAAAATGAACGTAGGTAAAAATGTAAACACAATTTAAATAAAAAGTTATGGTGTTTCATTTGCATATTTTCTATTATTTCTTTACAATTAGTGCTGGGGGCTTTATGACTCGGTCTTTGCCTTGCTCTCTTCAGAGCGTGGTGTTTGGTGAAGTACATGTCAGAACTGCTGGCCTCCTGACAAGCTGGCTATTCAAACAGTCTGAGGTATGAGGTTGCTGCAGCAAAAACTGGGTTACATTAAACTACATTACTTTGCTGCTGGAGATGAAAGGCCAATAATCTCAGGAAAGAGCTCACAGAGGGTTGGGCCAGTCGAGCACTTTATGAAGGCTCATTTGGACCCTAGGGGTACTGCGTAGGGTACTGCGAAGGTGAGTGCCCTGATGCCAGGGGTCGTGGGCTCGGAGACCTGAATGGGCAGCTGGCCTCGGCAGGAAAGACAGCCCGGTGAGGCCGCTGTTTGAGTCATCCTCACCTCCCCAGGCAGGTGCGGGCGGCAGGACGCTTCGGCTTAGCCACTGCGCGGGCGGGACTGGGAGCGGCCGCATTCCCCGCGGAGCCCACTCCCGGGCCGCCTTCTCCGACGGGCACTGACCTTGCCGCGGGCGTCCGGGCTGCCGCAGTCCGGGCGCCGCAGAGCCCGGCGCTGGTGGAGGGCGACCGCTGGCACCCGGACCCACGGCTCATCGGGTCGGGCTGCGGAGCCCAGATGGAGCCGCGGCTCTCCCGCCATCCCTCGGCACCTCATTCCCGCGCGCGGTCGCCGGCTGAGGCGCAAGTCGCCTCAGCCTGCTGCTCCGCCCGCGCCGCCTGCTCCCGGCGCTCGGTCCCAGCACGCCGGCTTCCGAGCGGCCATGGGCGACGCGGGGCCCGCGGTGTAGAGTCCGCCAGCCCCGGACCCGTGTCCCGCACCCAGAAGGTCTCGGTAAGCGGGGGAGGGTGGGTGTGCTCGGGGCGCGCGCGCCGCCGCCGCCTCAGCCTGCTGCTCCGCCCGCGCCGCCTGCTCCCGGCGCTCGGTCCCAGCACGCCGGCTTCCGAGCGGCCATGGGCTACGCGGGGCCCGCGGTGTAGAGTCCGCCAGCCCCGGACCCGTGTCCCGCACCCAGAAGGTCTCGGTAAGCGGGGGCGGGGGCGGCGGGGACCCGGCAGGCACCGTGAGGGGCGGGTCTGCGGGCAGCGAGCAACCCTCCGCGGACTCAGAGGTGGTGTGTGGGAGCCGTCCCCGAGGGCTCCCTGTGTAAGTGGATGAACCCCGAGTGTTCCTGCCTCTACCCTTTGGGCGAGCCCCGGAGGCGGTGTGCGGAACCGCCCCCGTGGAAGACCCCTGCGCGAGTGGAGGCTCCCAGGGCGCTCTCTGCGGTTTGCTACATAGGGAGGCCCAATGTGGAGGACACCATCCCCAGAAAGACCGTGCTCGAGTTCCCACGGGAGGGCAAAGGTGGTCTCTAGTATTGTCTCGGTGGAAGACCATTTGGGAGCGTAGGGGAGCCTTAGGAGCCCGCACCTGGTACGGGCCCCACAGAGGAGCCCAGGATACAAGAGGAGCCGAGAGTGCCCTAGAACTGCCTGGAAGGAGCCTCTGACTGGGAGGAGAGGATCCTGCCGTGGAATCCAGGCCAGGAGCAACTTCCCATATGCTCAGAGGTCTTTGGCCTTGACCTCCGTCAGGGCTCAAAGTGCCCTGACTTGTGTCCCTCCCTCACGGTCGAGAGTCAGGGGTCCTGCAGGGCTGCGTCCCCCGCCCCATTAGAATTCGTGTTCTCTGTGGTAGTCCAGTTGGCTCCAAGTTGGAGGCAAGAACTTCTATAAGAGCACAGGATGAAAGAGAGGGGAGAGGACCAATGATGTCTCTGAAGCAGAGAAAGGAGATTTGAGGCCCTGGGCTTGACCCTCAAGATTAAAAAGCAGTAAAATCAGGTAGAACAACTAACTCAGCCAGGTCCTGTAAAGAAGATCCTTTGACAGAAGAAAAAAAGGATATGTAAGATTATTGAGCACCCATGTGCCAAGTACTATACCAGGGAAGTTTAACATCTCATGTAATTCTTACAACAGCATTATGAAATTATCCCCTTTTAAACATTTGGCACTTTAGACTCAAAAGAGGTTTAGCAGTTTGCCCAAGGTCACAAAGCATGGGATCTTGAAATCTGTTTTTCTAAGTTTATTTGGGAAAAAGTATCAAGGAGATGCAGAAGCAAGAATATTTATTTGTTAATAAGTTGCATTAAGATACCAAGCATAGGGCTTTGCAGTGGTATACACACTCAGTAACTGCGATGATTAAGTGGATGTAGACAGTTTAATTGGGGATGAGCCTACTGCAGGAATTGATTTCCACTGAATCCCCAGATTTCAGGGTGTGGCTCCTTCACTGGCAGCCCCACTGTAATGATGCCTCTGGGTGGCTCTGTACTTAATTGGGTCTGGGAGAAGCCTCTGGGTGTGGTCTTTGATGGGATTTGCTCAGGGGGACTAGTGGAACCTTTCAGAGGATGGAGTATTCTGAGACTACCCTCACAGCTTGCAAAATCCTTGAGGGAGAGGACAGAGAGAGTGATCACTGTTAGGAAGCATGACCCACAGTGTCTTTGTGGCCGTCTGACTACCTGCACTAGCAGACATTGGTCCACAGATACCACTCAGGACACCTGACCAACAGTGCCTCTGTGTGATGAGGGAGAGGCAGGAAAGGCGCAAAGCCAAGGAGGGCATACTGGGAGTCCATCATCTGAGGAATGCAAAGGGTCTGTGCCAGACATAGTGATGCACCCTCATCTCACCACCTGGGCTGTGGTAGCTTTCATTCCACCTGAATCCCAAGGGTGTGAATTTGAGACCAAGGATAGACTCTGGTTTCTTGTCCAAAAATGGAGTGGTGAGGGCGCTAAGCAATAGAATTCACCACAGAGCCATTCTGGAAGAGTTTTCCTACCCCCCTCCTTTCTACTTCCACATAGCCAAACCTAGTGACATTTTCCTTTAATAGAAAAGAGTTCCCTGGGCTCCTGGGGTTACATAGTGAGAAGAGAGATCAGGCTTGTGAGAAAACAGAACAACCTGGGTGTGGCGTCTCATACACTGCTCAGTGAAGTAAACTGACAAAGGCTGATATTGGTTAAGCACCTCCCCATAAGAGTTGTTTATAATCCCCTTTCAGTTCAAACCCCTCTCATCAGTTTAACACACCAAAATAAACAGTGATATATTTTTTTAAAGAAAATCAGAACAAGCCTGCAAATAAGATCTTTGCTCTGATTCAGAGATTTGTCACTGGAGTTTTATTCCTAAACCCACTCATGACCCTGGAAAAATTGTTAGATGGCTCCAGGTGCTCGATATCACTTCTTTAATGTCCAGCAATGGGTAAACATTAAGATTATAAAATTCTAAGAATATCTCTCCTGTAATTGCAGTGTGAGTCTGCAAATCAAATCATTCCACAATGGGTATGAAGGATGTCACCAGGTGGCCTTAATCTTCTTTTTAAAAAAAAAAAAAAAAGCTCTCTAAAGAGAAATAAAAGGGGAGAACATGGCTCACACAATTTCACTTAAGTGCACACAAATGAGTCTGGATTTTTCAGTCTTTAATCTTCCTCATCTTCTCTGACCACATTCCTATGGTTTTCTTCCTCTACATTTGCCATCTCAAGACAATGCTTCCTTTTTCTCAAACATATGAATAGTAGGACCTTCCCCAGCCCATTTCTCATACTCCTTGTATTTTTTCCAGTACACCTGTTCTGAAGTGGATCATATTTATGCAAATATTTCTTTTTAGCTACAGAATCTATTATCTTCTAGTCCTACATGCTTTTTTCCAGCAGTGCTCTTGGTTTCTGCTGTCTTCATTTCCCAAATTGCTTTATTCATTTCTAATGGGAATATCATTATCCACTCCAGCCCCTCAATCTTAATGACCACATTCTGACAGAAATGCTTACCAGCTTTGGACCAAGAAACCAAGACCATCAGTGTCCAGCTGGAGACATGATTATTTTTTCCATTATAACATCTCCTTTCATTCTTCCTCCTCTTCCAGCAATCCCCTCAGAGACCCATATACATTTACTAAGTGCTACCAACTGCCAGGCACTATGCTAGATAAATATGAGAGTTTCTAGCCCTTGAGGAGTTCAAATAGGATCAGTCTGCATTTCTCTAATCATTTAATATTACAAGGAAAAAGAGAGAGAAGTACAGCTTTACAGAGTATCTACAGGAATCATCATACAGTATGTCTTTTCTCAGGCATCACTGAAGCTTTACAGAGTATCTACAGGAATCATCATACATTATGTCTTTTCCCAGGCATCACTGAAGCTTTACAGAGTATCTACAGGAATCATCATACATTATGTCTTTTCCCAGGCATCACTGAAGCTTTACAGAGTATCTACAGGAATCATCATACAGTATGTCTTTTCCCAGGCATCACTGAAACGCAACTGCTGTTCTGTGCCTCCTCTGGCAATCACATTCTCAGCCCCCGAGTCATTGCCCTGCCAGAATATTTTTTTGCCCATATGCTTTGAGTGAACTGGCCACGCTCTTGGCTTTCTCTATGATAATGATGACAGTACCTTAGAGTTGGATAACTTATAAAGCCCTGTTATTTACATGATCTCTATTTGGTTTTGAGAAATATTTTGTCTTACTGGGGTCTTCTTACTAAAACAACAGTGTGGTGGCTAGCTGGCTGGCTTTCTCTCCATTTTTTTGTTTTGTTTCATTTCGTTTTGTTTTTTGAGCCTCCTAGTCAGACTTACAGGCCTCCCAGAGGGAAAGCCCTAAAGATCCACTACAGGCACTGTGTATCAGCTCTTAGGCCATGAAGAGGAGTTTCCTGTTGGGCCAAAGGCCAAGCAGTGTACTTACTGGTCAACCCTGGGACTTACCAGGGCTGTCCTGCTACCTGGCCTCAGAAAACCCAATTCTCTGATTTGGGTTTCCCTGAAATCCAAACGCATATTCCCTTCAAACAGTTTCAGCATACTACCTCAAACCAGTTCTTTGGGCTAATTCTTATGTGAAGGCAGGTTTCTTTGCCTATTTCCCTCCAGCACCTGGCTGGCTTCATACCATCTAACCCATGATGGAGTCCCCATATAGCTCCATGCCTTGGCGTGTGCTTTTTTTTGTTTTGTTTTGTTTTGTTTTTTGATTTGTCTTTTTGGCATGTGCTTTTATCTCTTCCTGGAATGCTGTGTTTTTTTTTTCTTTTCCACTGGGGTAACTCCCACTCATATTTCAAAATTTAGCTCAAGCAACACTTTTTTTTTTTAAATCCTAAACTTATGCCCCCACATGCACACATACTCACACTGCTTTCTCACAGGCTGAGTAAGGTTCCATTTATTCATTTTTAC